ATGAGCATTCTCGTTCGAATTTCTCAAATCGACACTTGGCTTGGACCTCTTCTTTGACGGGTCATATCTGGATTGACCTTTCAATTTTCGTTTCTTGCCTTTTTCTTCAATTTGTTGCTCGTCGTTGTCTTCTTCGCTCGAGAATGCTTCATTTTCACCATCTTCTTTCTGGAATTCATCTTCGAAATCGGAGTCAGAATTCGTCCAATTTTCTATCATTTGCTGTCTCTTTCCTTTACTCCGCCCCCGTGCACCTTTTTTATGTTTGTCAACTGGATCCGACCAAAAATGTTGGGGATCTGATGGAGAATCATTATTTTCGTTTCTATTCTTGCGCGGTGATTTCGTAGGGTTAATGGGTTTCGTGGATTTTTCGAAAGTGAGTTTTTTTTGTACGATGGTGGGTTTTTTTTTGGCTTGTAATTTTTGTAGGCGAGAGCTCGATCTTCGGTGAGGGGGTATCTCAGCGTCGGAGTTCGGACTTCTACCGAACTTAGTTCTTGCCATGGCTGAACTGGGGTGTAAGGGACGTAGTGGGAGATAGGTGAGGGAGACAGGGTTTCGGTTACAGAGATGTGGGGAGAGATGGGGAGACTTGTGTTGACATGGTTGAAAATTTTCGGTTACCGAGAAATATGTGTGAGATAATATCTTACCAAATTGGGTGAAGTTATTTTAGAAGGAGATAAGTTTTCCTTTAATTACGTTAGATCTCACCGGATTAATTCCTTCGTAATTTTGCAATTAAAACGTTATGATTATGTTAATATGATAATATTTACTTCGTCATTGTATTTATGCAATTAAAAAGAAATTTGTTAGTACACGATGCAATTTTCTCTTTTATATATAACAATTTCCTTTCGGATTCCCTTATATTCACTCGGTCACCTTTTAAGGTAACTTTTATAATAGAAATTTGGGCTCATCCATCAACGTGACACCATTTTCATATCGCGTCAGATCAATTATCATCATATGGTAGGATGTGATATTTGTTGGTACTGATGATTTTCATTAGCAATCAAATAATTATTCAGTTTCTAATGCGAAATCTCAAATTCTAAACCCACTAGCTTAACTCACCCTACATTTTTTCCCCATCCATTAATGTGCTATGCAAGACGTTTTTACATAAGTTGATATAGTCCACATTACAGAACTATGTTTTTTCTTGTAAAAAGTATGAATTGGACATGGAAAACACAAGCTCATAATCTTGGATATCATGATTGAACGAATTTTGCAAAAGAGCGTTTTGGTAGGGTTTGCTTTGGACCCATGATTGGATACACTGATTTATCCCTAGTGTGGCATGCCTAGCTACCCACTTAGAGATTCTTTTCTAGTGAAAAATGACTTGCATTATCTAATGACACCATTTGCAGCTATGATTGAAAATTATGGCAACACTTGTGAGTGTTGGGGAGTAGTACTGTTATCGAATCGAACCGAGCTTAAGATTTTCGAGCTCGAGTTCGATTAATCTTCGAACATGTTTGTGTTCGTTCGTTTAGTAAACGAACAAGAAATTTCGTTCCTTTATTGGTTCAATAGGTTCGTGTTCATTCGTTTATCTAGTCGAATTTGTTCGTGAATTGTTCGAAGACAAGTTCGTGTTCGAATTGTTCGACATGTTCGTGTTCGTATTTATTAACTTTTTTTTTTTTTAATGTCATACAAGTTATTTTATTTAATATTTAATATACATTCATATTTATATATTATATTATATATGTATATACTATATATAATATATAAAATTATAAAATATTTTTATTTTATGTAATATTTACTATATATTTATATTTATATATTATATTATACATGTATATTATATATAATATACAAAATTATAAAATATTTTTTTTGTTTGCGAACGCACGATTAGTTCGTGAACTTGTTCGTGTTCGTTTGATAACTAAACGAACATAATTTCATGTTCGAGCTTGGTTCGATTGCTAAACGAACGAGTTGTTATTGAACACGAACGAGCTTTGTTTGCGAACAGCTCGGTTCAATAACAGCCCTAGTTGGGAGCTAATATAGAGTGAAAAAGGTTGATGCACTTGCAAGCATATGCTCTCTCGAGATTCGTCTGAGGATATTTGTTCGATTCGATCACTCGATTCTTGAGCTTAAGCAAACTTTTCGCACACATATTTATAAACGCAGTATGCACATCTCATTAAGTATATAAATATGATTATATTTTTATATATAAATATAGGATGATATCCACTATTAATGTTATTGTTGGACATATATTGTTGTGTGGCCGTCCCGGTCCCAACGCTCTCGTCATTGGCAGCGGAAACTTTGTTTTGAACTCGACCGACCCGCTTTCAGCCCCGTTCAAGCTCGCAGAGGTGCTGCTCGTCTACAAGCCACTGAACCGCTCTCTTTCAGGCCCATTTTCGGCCTTTCTTCTAGCTGCAGCTCTCTTTCGGGCCCGTTTTCAACAGAGAGAGAAAGGGCGCAGCGAACAGATAGAGAAGAGGAGAGAGTGTTATGGTCTAATTAGGGCAAGTGAGAGTATTTAAGGAGTGGATGAGTGGTTGGGATTTAATCCCGAAATCCACGGGTCCAAATTAATTTGCCACTTGTGTGTGTAAGCGGGCCAAGCCCAGACGGGGACTGGGCCGAGACTTCCTTGGGCCCGAGATAGGTATTGGACTGGGCTAAATTTCTCAACATTTCTCTACCAATTTGGTCCACCACAGAATACCGAACACCTTGAGGGACCGGAGGACTTTCATCATCGCCTTACCTTACTTTACCTGCACTCAAACACAAAGTTAGAGCAAACCTGTAGCAGCCATAAAGTCGGCTACCTCACAAAAATTCATAAAACACTCTGTCTCTCACGCACTTGCTCTCTCTATCTGTAATCTGACTTTTGTGTCCAATTAACCTATCATCTTCAAACCTTAGAAATTGATATGGGGTAGTGATTTTGGTGAGGGTATGCTTAGTGTATTCAACAGAGTCTATACGCGAGAGGGAATTTTGGGGTTTTCGTGTTCGGGCTGCTTTCGGGCTGAGCTTCGTGCGTCGGTCAATGGAGTTACCCTGGGTTTACAGTGCCGGAGTCAATTGAGGCCAAGGGTCCATTAATCGGTTCTTTATCGGCTATTCGGTGACTCATTTTGTGGGCTTGACGAAAGGGGACTGAGCCTGCTCATTCTCAACCCACCATCGTGGAATCGGTGATATATCGGGCTCCTCTTTCGAGAACACAAAAAGGGTGTAATCATTCCTATTAATTTCATTATTTAATTTTTTAGCATTTTCAAGTTGTTTATGCTCTTTGATTGCTGAAATTTAATTATCTATTGTGCATTTCCGGTTTCACCTTGAATCGAACAAATCGGGACGAGTTCGGGGCATAAAGGGTGCTGTTCGTGGATTAAAGGCTGCTGTCCGTGCCTCTCGGGAGCTGCCGAGAACTGCTGGGAGCTGTCCGGGCCTGCTGGGAGCTGCCGGGACGAACCAGCGGCTGTTCAGGACTGTTCGGGGCCAGCCCGGGCCCGGTGAGTCGAGCCAGACGACCACCCAACATATATGTACTTAGCTAGACTCGGGTCTTGCACAATAAATATGTCAATTATCAATTGTGCATGCTATGATACGGCCTCTGGTTCTAAAGGAAGTTCAGTTTATAGGACTATAAGTTCTCTCCATATTTGGATTAGTGGAAAATTTCAAAAAAATATAGAATAACGATTGCAACACATAACAAAATGTGTACATTTACATATGATCTGAAAGCCATATACTTATAACAAAACATGGGTCCCACTAATTTTGTATAGACTTGTAGATATCGTGTTTAATTAACACAAATGCTCTTGTTAGCTTACCCCGGCATGCTTAAATATATGATGATGAAATAGTTGTAATTATTTGGTGAAATTGATAATTGAACTTAGTGAAATAGTGAAAGCATGATTGGGATTTGGAGATGAAGTTTATTTCAAAATTTTCCACGTTTTATATTGTAAAATAAAATGGTATTCCAAGGAAATTAAATGTTAAAGTTCCAATTCCAAGTATAAAACAAATGAACTGATGAAGCTTTGGATGAGATGTGTGTGACCTTAGTGACTANTTAATTATAAGAGTTTTTTCAATATAAGACTTGAAGATGGATTATCAAATCGGGACTGAAAGATTTTTTTTTTCTCAATTCTGGATTTAAATATTATAAAACTATCAAATTAAATCTTAGAATTAAAAACCACAACACCATTAAATTGAGAGTTTGAAAAAAAAAAAAGAAAAAAAAATGGTGCTTACTCACATAAAATAATAAGTAAACATTCGCATAATATTTTTAAAAAAAAAAATAGAAATAGACGATAGCAAGAAAACCGAGCACGAGCTTCATAATTTTCTTAATTTTCTCCAACATTCTCGTATTTTCCTTATATTTCTTAATTTTTTTTTGTTACTTTGTAACAGATTTGGTGTTTTAAAACTTCAAATTAACTCTCAATTGAATGGTGTTATTAGTTTTGTTACTTCTAGGACTTAATTTGATAGTTTTATAACATTTAGGTCCCGAATTGAGGAAAAAAATCTCTTAGGCCCCGATTTGATAGTTTACTTATCTTTCAAGCCTTGTATTGAAAAAACTCCATCAAAAAATTAAGAACCGAAACAGAAAATGAAAATGGCCTTAGGGATATATTGGGAAAAGGCCCATTAATTAACTAAATAATAAAAAAAATATTTTAAAGAAATTAAAAACAAAAAAAAAATGTGATTTAAGTAAAGGAATGCCTTTCGGACAATTCAGCCGTATATTCTTGAGAAATATATAAATTGTGTGTAATTGATGTTTCATTACAGGGAGATGAATAGAAGAAAGTCAGCACGCTATTGCTTCTCGAACTAAACAACGACAATTTTTGTGGGTTGGTTGCGTGCATATTTGTCCTAATCCTTTTCCTGTTTCCCAAAATAAACAAAAAAATCATATAATTATTTATTATTTACTCGTCTCTCCCCTCTTTTTCTTGCTTCAAAGACTAGACCTCGTCTAGTCTGTATGTATTTAACTGATAACTCATTATTCTATGTACAGTCTGCCAAAATATTTAGCCATTAAAGCAAAAGATTGTGAGCCCATAAAAGGTGTATAAATACCTCTCTCCTTTCTTCTCCTCTCTTATTTCCGCTTGCATTTTTTAGGTGGTTGTATTTGTTTCCTCCCTAGTTTCTGTCTAGTGGACAGGGCACACGAAAACTATTTATTGTGAGAAAAAAAGTTTTGCCTTTTCTGATAAAATGTGGGCTTTTATCAGTTTAAGCTTTGGTTAGGCGTTTCAAGGTATGATTTTGTTATTTTCTGGCTAGAAAGATTGATTCTTTTATATTAACTCCTGCAAAGTGTTTGCGATTTAACCTCCAAAAAGAGTAAAAAAGAACATTCTCAGATTGTGGCTGGAAAAATTTTCATATGCGTAGCTTCTATTTTCTAGCTATCAAGTGCTTTTCTTGCTAATTTTTTGCTTCATTTTGCAGCAAAGCTCTAGTTTGGTGCGCCTTGAACATACACATCCGGTCTGTCTGAAAATTTTATTTAATCATTATTTATTGAAAAAAAAATTAAAAATGGAGGGCTATTCGGGAAAAGACGAACAAGGGTGTCATCAGTTTCTTGATTTGATTCCTAAAGAAAAAAAATGGGTTGCTGAGAGTTCAGAAATTCAAAGCCATCGCCTTTCAGAAGATCATCAAAAGCTTGAGCTGAGCTTGGGCCCACCAGGCGGCAATTGGGCCGTCACAGACAAAAACATTTCCTGTAAAAATCGAAACTTTAGCGATTTCGGATGTTTTCCGAACAGCCCTTGTCCTGAAAGCCTTGTCTTGAGATCTCCATGGCAAAGCCAATATCTTGCTGTGACGAGCGAATCATCACAGCCCAGTAGCAATAGAGTAGCTGTGGATTCGAAAAATATTGAAAAGAAGGCCTTTTCTCATTCTCCTGCAAATACAGCTGTGCCTAATGCTAGCGGTGCCCAGAAAAGGTACCTCAGCTTTAATTTTTTTAGCAGCGTATTATTTTGTTAGCTTTTTTTAGTATTTGTTTTTTTCTGCTTTTATCTGTAAGGACAGAGGATTGTTGCCCCTGTTTTACTTGACATTTGTTACATACTGTGGTCCTTACCTTTTACATATTTGTTTTTCTTTTTTTCTTCATTTCTTACAGATTTAGTTCTGAGCTTTCAATATCTTTTGGGTTTGTTCATATCAATTTTATGAAAGGATATGCTTTTCTCTCTCCTTTTTGTTTTTGTTTATTTACCTTTTGGGCTGTCTCCCTCCATTGTTTCTTTCTTGTGTTTTTATTTTTATTTTTATTTTTTTCAATTTATTTTTCTTGTTTTTTTATTTCTTATTTTGGATAATATCAAATCATGGATGAGTCAGTCATGTCTTAGTAATATATGATTATGAGTAATTATAATATTTCAATAGTTAGTCCAATGCAAACAGTTTAAAAAGTTACAAAAAAAAATCTGAAAATTACCTTCTGTGTAATATTCATTTTCTGGGTAACTTTTGTTGTTAGGAAGTAAGGAAAATATGTCAATAGCCCTCTATCTTTCTGCATGTTTTAAAATATTCACCACCTTGATTTGCTTGGAATTATAAATTGTCCATATCAATAATGTTTTATCTTAAATTAAATCTGTGGCCCTTATTATCATCAATTTAAAACATTAGGACTGCTCCTACTCCAGTTGTGGGATGGCCTCCCATTCGTTCCTTCCGGAAGAATCTTGCAAGCGGAAGCTCGTCTAAATCGATTTCTGAACCAAAAGATGCCGTCCCAGAAAATAATTTTGATGGAAAATCAGTTGATAATCGGCCGAAAACTTTGTTTGTCAAGATTAACATGGATGGGGTCCCGATTGGAAGAAAAGTTGATCTTAAAGCGTACGATAGTTATGAAAAACTCTCGTATGCTGTGGATGAACTATTCAGAGGCCTTCTTGCAGGTTTGTTCGATCAATCACAATAGAATAGAATGTAACACTTTTGGAGTACGTAAATTATTGTTAGAGAACACAAAAAGAAGCTAAAATGTTGAAATAGTAAACAGGAAAATTATTGTTTTTGTAGCTCAAAGTGATTTTTCAGCTGAGGAGGAAAGGAAAGTTGAGGGAGGCCTTTTGAATGGAAATCGAGAATACACGCTCGTTTATGAAGACAATGAAGGTGACAGGATGCTTGTTGGGGATGTCCCATGGCAGTAAGCATCTCTTCTCCATATATTTAAAAAAAAAAAAAAAAAATCGTTAAATACAGTATATTTCTTTGTTTTGAGTGTTGAAACTTTGAAAATGGGAAATAATAATGTGCTGCTAGCTCAATTATGAGTATTTCATATTGTGTCTACAGTTTGTCGTGTTATAAAACCGGACCGGTATCGAACCGGTGAAGCTGCTGGTTCAATGGTTCACTGGTCGAACCAGTGGTCGAACCGGTTTAACTAATATACAATCTATTTATTTATTTTATATGTATAATATAATTATATATATAGGATGTGGTTCAAATGAGAACCAAGTCTTAGTGTGAGAACCGTGAGAACCGCTATTTTTGTTTAGACGTAGTGCTATGATTGATTGTGTTTGATGTTATTTTTAACCAGGATGAATTTTATTAAAAATAGCAACACAATTTCTGGTAGCACTTTTAAAAATCATAGCATCATCTAATATGAAAAATAGCATCATACACAATTAAAAATAGCATAAAAAACGGTTTCCACGGTTCTCACACCAGGATTAGTTTTTATTTGAACCATCCCTTATAAATATATATATATTTTTATCATTAATTTTATAGCATGCATATAATGACATTTTTCTAAATAAGAGTTGATAAATCAATAATTTAAGTATAGTTTACCATAAGCAATACTAAATTAAGTTCACTAAAACAATAGATTAATAATTTAATATCTAAAGCAAGACAATCCAAATTACAAATACAAACTACAAAGTCATCACTCTTTTCTTTTTGTTTGATTTTTTTTTTCAAACTTCAGAACCGGTTCGACCAGTCGAACCGGTATCGGTTCACCGGTTTTACCGGTTCGAAACCGGTTCTTGTTCCCAGCGGTTTAAACACTCAAAAATATACTGGTCCAGTTTTGATAACATTGGTTATTGCTTGTTATTATTGTATACATAATTTTTGAAGTCTTGCATTCATTAAAAATATACTGATCTTTGATCTTTGCAGTATGTTCGTCTCAACTGTGAAGAGGCTTCGGGTGTTGAAAAGCTCTGAATTACCAGCATTTTCTCGTGAGTTATTCTAAAAACTAGATT